GGGAAGTTTACAGAGTATCATAATATAAAAATAACAAAGTATACTCTCTGTTAGTAAAATAATAAATACTTTGCTACAATATGTAATAATATTAGTATTTCCAATAAAATTTGCGCGATATATGATTTTTCTACAAATGCTTTCAAAGCAGGAAATCCGTGTAATATTGCTTTGGAGTTTAAACTCTGTCACAGCGCTGCCGTTTTAACTCAGCTAATATTACAAGTTAGTCAAATCTGACTGCAATTGGATACTTATATATGATATTCATTTCGACAGATGGCCTTTAGCAACTTCAAATTTCTATATCAGGATATGCCTTTCTCTTCAAATAACAATACGTGAAGTGTAAATCTGGGAAACAACAGGAGATATAAAATACTCAAATTTCGATATGGCATTTACTCGAAAAACAATTAAAGAATCGAAAAAATAGTATATATTGGGTTTATTATTTCACACAGATTAAAAAATATATTATATATTTCATCTCATCTCGATTTTTATATATTCAATTATTTGAAAATTTCACCTTAATAAACAAATCAATTATTTCTTAACTCAGAAGCAATATGTATAGAAAATAATAATTATAACATTATATAACTGAAAATAAAGAAACTAATGTTGTTCCTTAACATGAATTTTTATTTATTTTGTTGTTTACTAAATATTTTCAGAATAATTTGAGGTTTAATTTGTACCTTTGTGAAATAAACTTATTTATATATATATATATAGATATGTATTCATCAATTATATTATTAGATTCGCTTATTTTTAAATTTTAGTATAGAGTTTAACGCTTAGTTTGGGTTTCCCCCAATCACTTTGTATTTGTTAATTTCGGTGGAGATCAATGTGAAGATCGATTTTATTATAACCATACAGTTTGGTCAAATTTTGAATATAGAAATACAAATTTTATGATATATATATACAAAATGTTTGTCACGTCTTTATATATGCTGATATTTTGTTGAAAATTATATGAGATTATATAATCACAATGAATATCTCTGCATTTTACTGAATATATGAGCACATAAGGAGCTTCTCGGCATTTTGACTAAGATCTATTAATTGATAAAAATATCTGAAGTCAAATTTACATATAAACAGTATCCAAATAAATAAACATAGACTCTGAGAGAAGTATTCACTTTTGAAATTTATTTTCAAAATTATAAATGTTTGATAGGCTTATATTTATTCTGCAAAACTCTATCCATTTAAATTATAAATAGAGATAAATCATTTTTAATGCGAAACTAGTTAGAGAACAGAGACTTATATACAATTTCCACAAGAATGTAAATTGCGAATTAAAAAGATGGAGAAATGATAATTTTAATTATCCATTTTACTTCAGAATAATTCATCCATAACAATGCATCAAAGTCTCCGAAGAAAATCTTAAAATTTATTCCTCAATGAAAAACAACTTCCTAATCTTTCAAGAAATGTTAAGCCATGATATTAATGTAATTTCTTTCTTCAGTCATTAGGGGTAATTATTCTGGATTTAATTTTTGTGAAAAATTGTGGTGAAAACTTAATTAAATTTAGGGTAAAATATTAGTGGAAATGTGCACATCACGCCAAACTTTATCACGTGACACTCGTCTCTTCAATGATTGGCTAACTAATTGGGGGGACAGTTTTAATAAGGGTTTGTTAGTTAAGCGTCAAGAAATGAAACCATCTAGAAATAATTAAATTTTATTTTAGAGTTAATAATAAAAGGGAAGGTTTATAGCTGTCAGAGAAATTTAGAAATGTTAAATTTTAGAAGAGTTATTAAAAAATAATATAAATAAAAACAAGAAAGATTTTATCGTTTGTTCAAAATTTTGAGTTGCATTGTTAAGCGCTCAGGTAGATTTCTATCAAATAAAAAATATATTTTAATAGAAACTGATTTACTTATCAATCTCTTAATTTTAATCATAATGACGTTAGAGTATTTGCCACACATACAATGGAGCCTTTAATATTTTCATTTTAAAAGTTTCATTTCCAATATTTTGAGAAGTGAAAATATGAGGGCTAGTATACGTCGAATAAAAATTATTTATATTTATATTACCTTCATTAAAATAATCACCACATACTCACAAATAAGTTAACAACGACATTATCAAATACACTCATAGACAAAACTTAAGGGAGTTTCCTAGTTCGACGTCGCCAGTTATCTTTTTTTTTAAGGAGACAGATGCAATTTTGTCCACACTTGTTTATCTCGTGTGCCTTCAATGAGGTTGAGTATGTATCAAATTTCTCTCAGGAGTTATTGTCTGAACCCCGATATATAGGCTAAAAGGTACAGCTGTCTACATTTTTGTCATGAGAGTAAATATTCTTAAAACACATAGATACTTAAAATGAATAATCTGTGGAATTGAATTAATATTTTTATAATATAAATTCTTTTGATAAAGAATATTGAGATAGAGATTCCCTATTCTACAAAAAGGGCATCATAATATAGGTTTTCAAACAAGAACCTATACTCTATTGACATTTTTAGAATAAAAAAATATTAGCTGAATTTATAAATAATATTAATGATTCAGTTTAACCCTCAATAGTTATATTTCCCACGTTTCAGAGTGTCGCCTTTTTGAAAGAAAATCCCTTGACCATAATATGTGTAAATTGTTGAATCAATCATTTAAACTATACCGAAGCGATCTATTCGTTTTTAAATATCAAATATTAACAGTTTAAGAGACAACAAGTAAACATATATTTGTGGAATGAGATTTCCTTGAAAAGGCAACAGCGAAGGCCGTTGAAAGGTCAGAAATAAATATTTAGAAAGTTTGAAGTAAATCCTTAATACGGATTCCGTTATTTGCTGTTAGTTCATTTATTCACAATATAAATGCCTCGGCTTACTTATAAATTGAAAGGTAGCTCTTAGGATATTCCTACTTAGATGGCAGCAATAATGTGAAACATTTGTTGTAAGATTTCATTCTCAGATGTTTCAAAGGTTTACTAGAGAAAATAATAACTCAAATATTTCCCCTGTTCTCATATTTTAGTAACATATATATCTATTGATAAAAAAGAAAGAGGGTATTAATAAATAATGTATGAATATGTTAATAAATAAAATGTGTTATAAAATTTATTCTAAATTTATATATAATTCAATCAAAATAGTTTTATAATTAATGCGCTAAAGAAATAAATATGTAAAGTGCACAAATTTAGGCTTTAAATAAAAATATTTTTGATTAATTCTTGCCTATAGTATACAAATTTTGATCTCTTTCAGAATCAAATATTATATAGAGAGAGATATTCAACAGTTCACATAATACAATCTCAACAACTAGTAAAATATACTTATAAATATAAAGGTAAGTTTCTATATTACTGTTATCAAAATAGAATAAGTTCTTAAAATATAACTTGAATCGAATATTAATATCAATATTTCGAATGACGGAGAATCTTCTGTCGAGATGTTATGTAAATTATATATTGTGCTATACAACTGTGATGTTGAATTATGAATATTGCTACCAATAGGTCACTAGAAATTGACAAAGATTGGCTTTCAAGTCAATCGAAATATTATAAAACATTATTAAAGACACTACTAAACGTTTTACAACTACTAAACGTGGATTATCAAATTAGAAGATGTGTTAAAATATATAAATCGTTCAAAGTATTTTTTGAAAGTTTGGTTTTGTTAAAAAAAAATAAAATGGGTTTATATTGTTTATTTTCAACATGTTTTGTAAAAAATGATAGAATATATACATTTCAAAATGTAAATAATATCTCAAAACTTATAATATTATGGTGCGTTAAAGAGTAAAATCAAGTTAATATTTGAATAAACATTTGGATCTTCTTTTCACTTTATAACACTCCTTTCTTATTAATACTTATCTATATAACTTGAATAAAACTAGATATGTGAGACATTTATATAGAAACCCTATAGCGTTAGTTTACTTTATAATTTCACCGATAGTATTGATATATCCATCGTAGCCAGAAGTCTCAGGATTCTGAAGTAGATCTCCACTGGTAGATAATCTGTGGAAGTATAATGGCCATCTACTGTTCAACTGCTTTATGACCATCGCTTCTCAACTTTCTCTTATTTCTTCAACTCTTCTTAATGTACCGCCACTCTGAGACCAACAATGGCTTGGTAAATACACCATATATCCTATGATATATATATATATCTATATCAAAGTGTATATTTATAGTTTGTATAAGATTAGAATAAATTAAGTTATATATTTTATATGTGTGTGCTTATATATTCAACACAAATAAAGTTGTTCATATATATATATAAATCCGGATGTTTGTGTATATATTAAGATGATAAATATATATTAATTGATATCTTACGATATCTCAACAGGGATATGATTGTCTATCTTTTCTAAAAACATATCTCTCTGAACTTAGAAAGACGCGTCATCCGACTTAATAGACGTTTTCAATATATTTAAAGGGTAATATTCATATCACAATTTGTTTATTCCTTGTTTAGGTTAACTGAGTAGAAGTTTTTCCTTATAATCCTTTGTTTTCTCTTCACTCTTTTGTACATTTTGTTAAACTTTATTGGAACTCTATGATATAATATCTCTATATATGGAAAGAGTTTTCCTATCCATTCGAGGAAGGTAAAGGAGGATACGTTATCGGAATTTTGAATAACTGTACATATCACACACACAGCTCGCCTGACAAGGCGGCGTCCGATATAAGCATTTAAGAGAACTCAAAATATTTTGTTTTTAATTTTATAAATACCTTCACCACTCGCCCTTCTACACATTTATTTTTTCCATGAAGAATACTCTTCAAGCATTAGCGAATATATTTACAAACAGACTTGCATATATATCATATTCGCTTAATATTATTGTTTTGAAAAATGAATACCGTTTACATCTCAAATTAGTAGAGAATAAACTGTTTATTCAGACATAGCGTTATATATTAAATATACGATTATACTACATTAAAAACACCAGTACTCGTCCGTTCACCAAAGTTGAGCTAAGTCGGGCCCAGTCAATACTTGGGAGGGTGATCACTTGGGAACACCGCGTGCTGTAGGATTTCCTCCTCTTTTTTGTTGGTTCGGTGGACGAGTATATAAACTGTCGATTTTTGGGGAGCCATTAACTGGGATCGAATCCCGCATTGGCACTTTTTTCTTAATTAAAATTGCTCTAATGACCTCTATTCTTTCTAAAGTCCAACCCACCAATAATTAAGAGTAACCAAACGTGATTCTGGCACGTTTTTGAGTGCAAGGGTGTAACTGATTTCTACATGTATAGATTTTATAAGGAACTTACAGTAGAAGGAGTCGCTATTTACCATTACTTCAACATTGTCGGTACTACATTAATAGGGCGATAATAAAAATTCGTAAGAATAATTAAAAACAATTTAAATAGATTTTAAATTTAATATTTGTTGTTGAAAGGATATATTTTAAAGAGCAATATATTTATAAATAGAAATAGAATATCGAATTAATATTTAAATATGGCACAATTAAACATTTTGAAAGTTTTTAAAACCTTGCGCTTTCACACATTTCGTTATACGTATTTTTATAAAATTGTAAAATTTGTTTATTCACAAATTGATTCAATTGTAAATATATTGAATGTACATATAATTAAGAAAATTCATATGCATAAATTTGCTGTAAGAATGACCTATTTTTTGGCCGTTAAGGTACAGCTTGCACCAGGCTGACGAACGCCAACAGCCCGGAATGCGTACGTGGTTAGCTTTTTTGATTAATCAAGAAAATGTATTTGGCCAATTCTAAATTAATAAATAAATAACAAATAGTTTATATTTATTCTGACAGATGGCGCAAGCCATCAGCAACTTTCAGTTGCACAATAAGGAGATGCCCATTTTTCAATTTAACAACCCTACAACGTATTTACCATCTTACTACGTACAATTTCACATTTGTACCAATTTCTACATGATATACTTCATGTATAAGTTATTATTTCATATAATTAATATTATTATCAAAGAGTAAGCTCTTTTCTAATATATCGTTAAGTTTTGTCTTTTGAATATTGATCAATACAGCTTTCACATGCTCACAAATAAATTTGGAAAGTGGGAACATTATTCTATTTTCGTTTTATTTTCAGTTCTAGAGATCAACGCCGGCAATATTTTAGCTTTACATATATTTGCATATATACTTTTAAAATTATAAATTCGTATTGTTACAAGGAAACATATACAAATGTGAATGATCAAGTACAATGTCCCGATTATCTAAGATTGAAGAGAAATTCTGGCACGGCAGGAGAAAACATGTCTCAGGTTAACAAGCATATCCATTCACTTTACACAAAAATATATTAATTAATATACATAAAATAAAACTATAAAGTTTTTTTTTTAAATTAACACTTTCTAATGTTCTTACTTTGATGAAAAGAATTGTAAGCCCCTTCTCATTTGTTGTTAACCCTACCAACGGTGTATAATGTATTCTTCTATATTAATTAAATATCAAATCGAATTTTAGGGAAAAAATGGTTAGAATATTTGAACAAATATTATATGCAGTAGAATTACATATAAATATTCTAATCGATCTTTGCTCATCCGCAAATAAGTCATACAAGTTCTCAGTTAGACATAAATTAAACACATAAGGCAATTAAACACTTCAAATATAGACAAGAAGGTGGAAGAATTAAGCAGGCATATATCCTTTACGAAATATAGCATTTAATTGCATTTAAGGCAATAGAAGAATTTTGTTTCATTTGAAAAATAATAATAAATTGTGACACTATTAATTTAATTATTTTTGCATATAAATGGCGTTATATGATGTTTTATTCTTTGATATGTTTATTTTAATAAATATTTATGAATGACAAAATTTAAAAGTCTCAAATATCTCTAAATAGAGCTAGCTCTCTAGTGTATAAATTAGAAAATATTCTCCCCCCAACTTGTAAATTGATGAAGTCTCCGTATCATTCCATTGTAATTGGCTCGATGTATAATTAGTAGAAGCTATCAATAAATTACTATTATGATAATTAATGTGGGCCCAGCCAAACTTGGAACTGCCAATAAACACACTAATTGATCGTCCAAGATTCATTTAAATGTCGTTTGAAGCGAAGAATTCTTAATTATTCTTTTCAGCAACTTATTCTTTTCTTGTTAATATACTCGTTAATATAGAGTTTTAGTTTGAAAAAGCCTAAAGAATAAATGTAAATAAACAGAAGTTTATCTGTGAAACTGTCATTAGGACCAGGATCAACGGAATCATATGGAAAATGTAGTTTTATATATTAACTCTATATGGAAAATGATTTTATAGTGATGACTGGAATTTGCCAAGGTATTGTAAGAAAGGTAAGTGTCTTCATAAATATAATCCGTTTCACCTTTACATATGTGAGCTTCTAAGTTCCTTTTTAGTAATTTATAATTACGCTTTAACCTTTACCTCTTAATGAAAGGAAATTTTCTGTTTATTAAATTTGACAGTAAATGGTCAATTACTATATTGTTTGTTATTGATTCATATTTAAGGTGTTGGCCTAAAATACATATGTTATTTTATTGCTCTTAAAATTTTTATGTGCATAGTTTTATTAACTACCATAGCCAAAATAAACTTACAATATCTGATATATACAGATATATATGATATACAATATCTGATATATACAAATAATATAAAAAATAGAAAAATGGTCAGGAAATGTCAATTTTGATTATAATATATATGTTATATAAAAATATTATTTTATTTGAAATTATATTTCATAGATTCAAATATCCTGTTAAGTATACCACCAGATGTCGCGACTTCCCTTTATATAACCTATTGTTGTTGTTTCTCGTCAGTAGAAGGCGTAATAATAGTATCTGTTGTTTCCCGTTGGCCGGCTCAAACCGTTTGTATATTATGTAAATAAGTTTATATTTTTATTCCTACGCCTTAAGCCAGGCAATACCTTTATGAAATTATGTTTTTTTTTATATTCCCTTAGCTCAATTAAATCAATTAATGATCTAAGCTGTTTTTATTACTATTGACACGACTGTAGTCTCACATGCTCATGGATTCCGGGATCAAGCAAATTATCAATAAGTCTATATAAAATACTCTAAAATCAAAAAGAAAATATATTTATAATGTATATATATATATATATTAATAATTGGACATTTTCAGGGAGAGGATATTTTTTTATAAAGATAAAAGGTCACCTCTACCGTAAAAATAGACGTCAAAGCTAGACTTCGTTGCGGCGACGGTCAATAGATGGCGTCTAACTTTGACGTATATTTTGACGGGCGAGATGCTCTTTATCTCTATAAATCGGACCTGTAGGCTGGTGTTGTTGTCTGCGCTGCCGGGAGTACAGGATCTCCTTCTATGCTTCCTTTCTTTCTGTGGTGAATCTGTATAAGACCGATGGTTTTAATAAAGCTCTGTATTTTATTTTACATATATGCTGGATTCGAACCCAGGTTCTAATTGCCGAGGAGAAAGTTTTAGAGAACCAGATAACTACTCCATTCTAATCAAAATATTGTTCCAACGAAATATTTTATCAAGAGTCTAATAACGTACGCATTTCTCGCAGTTGGCTTTCATCACCATGCTCCAGAATGTAGATCAATAATATACAAATGTATTCAATACATAGATTGATATATGCCACATTCGTAAAAACAACTTCTATCCTATACTCAAAGCGTTATATAACACAATTTAAACTTCAGTTTAGATTAAATTTTGATTCAAAAAAATATTCAAAGTGAATTAACACCTTCTCTAATATATTATAAAAATCTTACTTCATTTTTTAAAATAATTTATTTGAGAACGCTTTTTTTACACCTAGCTATGAATAAAATGCAAAAATAAATTTCTTTATACTCTAATTGAATTATATTATCTTTGCAATTTTCTGGAATAACAGGTTAGAATACCCAGATGTGGAGGCTTTAAGTGAATGTCAAACAGATAAAACTTTAATTTGGTTTTGACAGGCCTTTCCAAATTTTATTAGAAATTCTTTTCAAAAAGGTTGCTAAGATGGCATTTTATTCTCTACACCTAAATATTTTATCAATTTAATACTTTTTTTTTTGTGAGATAGCTTTTATTAAAAATACATTTTTCCATTTTTATCAACTTGTTCGAGGTTAAAAAAAATGTATCGTAAAATTCAATTGAAGGTATTCTTTTATTAATGGAATATTCTGAAGCAATATCAGTTTTGAAACATTTCTTGATACAATATAGGATTATATAAAATCATATTTGTTTGGATAAAATAAAGCTATCTATAATTTTATCTATAGATGATGAATGACATATGCATTCGTGAACAAAACTTAAGCAAGTTGTAATTTTTAGCATGTATATAGGGATTCAGACATTAACTATAAAATATATTTGATACACTGGCACCTTTATTGAAAACACACCATAAACTATCAAAGTCTTTCAAATTCCTTAGGTTTTGTCCTGGATGATTGTATATATTGATTTAAAAAATAATCTATTTACCAGTATTTCTGATTCTTCAATACCAACATTTGTTAAGGTATAAAAACATACATAACCTCAGTTTCTACAAATATAAAGTTTTTATACGTAAAAATGGATTAGCGTTCAGTTACCGGAAAATTTGGTAAATTGTTTTTTAATATACAATATATATATGTTATATTAAAATATTATTTTATTTAAATTTAAATTTCATAGATTCAAATACTCTGTTAAATCGACCGCCAGAGGTCACGTTTCCCCTATAAAAACTCATTGTTGTTGTTTCCCGATGGCCGGCTAAAACCTTGGTAATTATGTAAATAATCTTTTTTTCCCCTTGTTCTACTCGCTATAAGACAGGCAGTACCTTTATACAATTATGTTTTTTTTTATATATTCCTTTAGTTCAATTATTTTTGTGTGTGATAATTATTTTTATTAATATTATTTAATTATTACCACGACTGCAGAACAATATCACATACTCATGGATTGGCAGTAGTGGTCGAGACAGAGTGGAAAGCTTGGGAATGTC